AGTGACTGTATGTTAGCCATTTTACTTTGGGAATTTATTCTGGGCATATTTTTCTAAGCTATTCTCATTTTAGTGCCCTGTGTGTTTTACTATTCATCCGACAAATTGAACTGATTGACATCGCGACTGTGGATGACAGTCAACTTCATTCCTATGCGTAATACCATGCAATGTCAATCGGAGCAGTGCGCGCTATTTACATGACAGTCGCTGAATATCGTTCATTTATTCGCGCACATTAGAAGGAGACGATCATAACTAGACGGCCATCAGAAAAAGAAACACAAAGCAAAGCAAATCATTTTTTCAGTCGACATTTACATTTCACAAGACGATTGAAAGGTAAGTTTTCGAAATACTCTCAATTTCATGGAATCCATCCCGGTTTGAAATGTTTCAATACGTGTTGGAACATTGTTGCAAAGAAATATATCGATGTGAATTCATGTGACGCAATTTTACCGTGGATTTGGTAACAAATTCGATTTTCAGTGACAATTTATTTTCATGTGATTCAATTCAGAAGATGCTAGTTGTATTAAATTCAATTTCGCTAAAATTGCAGACATTCTTCTTATTCCATACGGCATCAAATATAATCTTCGTTTGTTAGCGCTCGTTTCTTGTTCATTTGGTTTCCTTTTTGTGTTCTTCTCAAATATTCGATGACGTCATTTCATGTTCTCAACTTTGTATGAAAAGTGTAATTTGTGAGTGGTGGTTATGTGATGGATTGTGACAGAAATGAACTCGAATGAATTGTTTCAATCGATTTATTCATTTTGTTAAATCAATATTTCATATTTTGGATACATCCCTCATTGATTGGAATCAAATGATACAATTTTTCAACGTTTTCTATCTTTGAACTTCTTCACTTTTTCGGAATCTAGTCAGTTTCGGACAACTTTTTCCGAATACACGATTCACATGACATTTCGAATTGAGAGGAAAAGTATGTAACTGTGTGCGTCAGCCAACTATTTCACAATGGTTCTTTTGTTTCATACTCTCTTTTGACTCCGCCATTTTTGCACACAACTAATTTCATCATTTTGAACAATTTGATCTAAAAGATTTTATTTCTCGCTAAAAACTCACCAAGCCACATTTTTTGGACAAATTTCGTGAAATTATTAACGAGAAATAGATAAAACACAATTTGTGAAGGAAAATATCGAAATTTGGAAATATTTCGCAATCTGCAAAAGCTTGAGTGAGGTTTTGTTGTTGTAGTTTGTGCAATGTAACATTTTTAGGACTCCACAATGAGGAGAAATACATTTATATGAGCACCGCTCAAAAACATTTTTAGAATAATCGACACAAAGCGATGCTAGTGACGTTTTTTGAGATTTCTTGTTTGCAATGAACTTTTTGAACTATTTTCCATCAAACTTTTTTGGTTTTTGATTGAATGTCATAAAATTTCGACTAATTTTCTGTGTATTTTCTCTTTGAACAGAGACCGACTGACATTCGCCAAAATGGAGCCCCAAAAACGTGATCACGATGAAGACAGCAGCGAACAAAACAAGCGAAAGAAACTTGAAGCACCAGAAAAGGCTGACGCAGTGACCAAGATAACCGATGTCAACGATGACTGCCTTGAGCTCATCTTTGGTCATTTGATGCTACAGGATCTGGTCAACGTAGCTGATACGTGCAAACGATTCCAGCCCTCAGCCAAAGCGGCATTTGCCGCCAAGTGCAGAGGAATGGTGATGATGCTTGTTCCATATCACAATCGATTTCAACTAATCGAATCAATCGAAGACGCTGTAAAGGTGTTCGGCCTGTCGAATTGCTTGAAGGTTTTACGTCACTTTGGCCACAAGATCACCATGATACACATTGCTTATTTGGAAATCAACGCAGTCAAACAAGCTGCACTTGGCCGCTACATGAATGAATATTGTGCTGATTCATTGACCTACATCGCGATTGCTGGTGTTCTAAAAGAGATGACAGCGAACTGGACCAAACCATTCATAAATGCCGAGACTGTTTGGCTCTGGTCGAGTGATTTGGGTGACTTAAGCGCATGGTTTCCCAAAACGCGCCGTTTGGTACTTCATGCAGGTGCTAAATGGGTCGAAAATACATTTGCTCATTTGGAAGAGCTTGAAATCCATGTCAATGAACACAACCGAGCAAGTGTTGCAGAAATACTACGTCTGAATCCTCATCTGCAACAACTTCGTCTTTTGGCTACTGGCTACGACATGAAGTTTATGGAAAGCGTAAGCGGATACCTTCAGTCACTCACATTGCTCGATATTTGTTGTGACGACGAATTCTTCAATCTGGACGGCCTTTCCATTCACCTTAAAAGTGTAAAAGAATTCAATATTGACTTGCGCAGCGTTGGTAAGATGCCGAAAATTCCTTTTTCATTTGATCAACTGGAAAAGATGCAATTGAAAGCGAACGGCTTCAAAATGGACGGTGACTTCGGGAAATTTCTCAAACAGAATCCATCTTTATCGAAATTTGTGATCCACTCTTATGTACGGAATCCAACAAAAAACTCGCCTTTGGTTGAACAGATCAAAATGGACATCGCCGAAGTGTCGCCATTGCTTGATGTAATGTTAATATTACCTATTCGCCGTCGTAGAAGACGAACAAGAGTGAATTAGTATTTGAATAAACCTTTCTGAACGTCATTTTAAGTAGTTTAACTGAAACTCGAAAATTCTTAGAATCAACACAGTTCCAACTATTTGAAAATACAATACAATTTTCAGCTTAACAACGATTTTTTTTTTGAATTCACAACCATTTCTATTTGATACGCATATTTAAT